CCCCAGGTCCACATCCTGGACACAGCTGACATTGTATTTGATATTCTATAAAGGGGTGTTCCTTCTGAGCCTTATCCCGTGATAACCACCCTTTGATCCATTCTTACAGGAAGTGTGCCTGGCTGAGTGAGATTGGTACATTCATGTCCTGGGGAAGGTGGAGCCCCCACTCAGCTCTTAGAGACCATGGCCACTTCCTGGCCATTCTCTGCAGAGGCTCTAACTTGATCCGACCAAACCGATGTTAAAGGAGGACCAAGTTGAGTGGCTACGAGGTCACCACCATATGCTCCCGTTCCCCTCCCTGCTCTGCAGAGACTCAGATGCTGCCAGGTCCCCATGAAGTCACCTTGAGGCCATGAGCAGGGTGGCAGGTGCAGACCCCTTTCCAAGTTTGCATGCTGAGGCTGCATTTTGCCAACGCTGTCCTGGGCTGAAGATGCAGAAGTGCCGTTCCTGCTCTGGAGAGCTTGTCACCTGCTCCTGGATGCCAAGCAGAACTGGCTGGTCCCCCACTTTGCACAGAGGTTCTTGCATTTGTTCCTCCCGGTCCTCTGCCACATGCCCTTCGGTGCATGGGTGGGGGTGGGATGGGGTAGCATGTCTCAAGCACGATCTGAATATAGATGTCTGCTGATGGAGGACTGCCCCCTGCCCCCAGCTCCCTCAGCCAGTACAGGTATGCCCTCGGGGGCTGCCCACCTCTCCTCCTAATACCACTGGCACATCCTGCGCTGGGCAAGGATACAGTAGGGCTTAAGCCAGGGCCTACGGTTTCCAGCGTTTCCTCCCACCCTTCTTCTTCTTCTTCTTTTTTAAAAAATATATTTTTGTTGATTTCAGAGAGGAAGGAAGAGGGAGAGATAGAACATCAAAGGGAGAGAATCATTGATTGGCTGCCTTCTGCATGCTCCCTGCTGGGGATTGAGCCTGCAACCCAGCCATGTGCCCTAACCAGGAATCCACTGTGACCTCCTGGTTCATCAGTCAACGCTCAACCACTGAGCCACACTGGCTGGGCTCTCCCACCCTTCATAACAAACCATCATTAAACCCTTAAAGTTCAGGTAAAATTGAGATGCTTGACCCCCTCTTGAGCACCAGCTGTCATGGGGATCTGCAGTCCCAGTGTCCTGAAGGGAAGCTGCCGGGAGACAGGGAAGGGGAGCAGACTGTCCCACCCCAAAATTGGTCTCTTTGGCATGTGGATGATTTTCAGCCCAAAGCCATCAAGACCCAGCAGACTCAAGAAAACCTTTTTACTTCCCCCTAACTGCCTGAAAGAATGTAGACAGTGGGCCTGTACCAGTAAGAGAGCTATTATCAGAGATAACATATTTTGTATCTGAAAAAAAATCTGCTTAGCAGGGAAAATAGCTGATTGCCAAACATCCATTCCACTAATCCTCCTGTGAAGCCCAGGCCCCTCCCCCTTTCCTCAGCTGAGGATGGCTTACATGCCTCAATTGCCTTTGAGTCTCACCTCTTTGTGGGGCTCCTGTATATATACAATTAAATTAGTTTTTCTCCTGTTAATTTATCTTACATCCTTTTTATTATTAGAACAGCCAAAGAACCTAGAAAGGAAGAAGGGGAAATTTTTCTGCCTCCATCGCGAGGAACTGAACTCATAGCACAGTGGGGCCCTGTTTGGTCATCCAGCAGCCAGGTCATGGCCCCTTGTCAGAGCCAGTCCCAAACTTCTTGCCATACTTCACCCCAGCCCAGCCTCATTCCTCTGTGGAGTGCCAGCAAAGTACAGCCTGGGTGGGCATAAGCACAGAGGGTGGCTGGGGTGCTCCCTGGGGGCTCCCTCAATTTCCTTCCCCTGCAGAGTCTCCCTTGCATTTAAGAGAGCCCATAAAATCTCCCCAAATCCCACATTTTTTGTAGCTCCCAGAACAATTATCTTAGGGGAGAAGAGGGAGTGTGGAGGGAGAAAAGAAAGTTAGGAAAGAAGAAAAGAAAGAGTGATGAAAAAAGAAAAGGTCAAAGGTAGGGACAGGGAAGGAAGAGAAGGGAAAGAAGGGGGAGGAGAGAGGGAGGAGGTAAGGGAAGAGATGGGGACGGCGAAGGAAGCCTAAGACCACCCTGCATATCAGATATTTACATTATGATTCATAACAGTAGCAACATTACAGTTATGAAGTAGCAACGAAAATAATTTTATGGTTGGGTCACAACCTGAGGAACTGTATTTAAAGGGCCAGAAGGTTGAGAACCACTGCACTAGATGAAGGTTATTCCTTGTTTTCCAAATCAGTACTTTTCCTACCAAGTTCTGCTTAAGTGAACATAAAGAAGCAAATTGTTTCAAAAGTCCTAGTTTCACTTTATATCTCTGTTGAAAACCAGAGAAATCAGAAAGGCCTATTTGTATTATGATATTTTCTAGGTCATGGACAGAGAGGAGGAAAAAATATTCTTGGCATACAGCCTTTTTTTTTTTTAAGGTCTTTGTAGTTTCCTGTTAATTAATACCTGAACCATCACCATGTAAATAATGAGGGTAAATATAAACTTCACTGGCCCTGGACTCTGACCTTTGTTTAACACCCACCCCCTCTCTGATCCATCCTCTATCCCATCACTGGAAAAGTTGGAATTGTTAACCTGGAAATTTAGGGCCAGAGAAGAGAGACAGAGCATGTGGGTTTTAGACAAGCCTTGCAAGAAAGTACAAAAATAACAGCACCTCTGAAAGTTCTTCCCCAGTTAGCTGCTGTCTTCTCTTCCTCAAAGAGGTGACATCTACAGGGTCAATTCCCTTTCCTTTCGCTTGGGGAGACTCCCATGGCTCTGCCACCCTCTCCACTTATGCCCAGTCAGGCTGTACTTTGCTGGCACTGCCCTGCACCATTTCCTTAGGCAAGCATCATTTACAAGTGGTTTGCCCAGCCGGCATGGCTCAGTGGTTTAGCGTGGGCGTACGAAACATGATTTGATTCCCGGCAGGGCACATGCACGGGTTGTGGGCTCAATCCCCAGTAGGGGGCGAGCAGGAAGCAGCCCATCAATGATTCTCTCTCACCATTGATGTGTCTTTCTCTTCCTCTCCCTTACTCTCTGAAATCAATAAAAGTATATTTTAAAAAACAAAAACAAAAAGTGATTTAATGGTTCTACTCACTATTGTTGAGCACACCTGCTGGTATAGTACTGATTTCTCTTCATGTCGGAGTGCATTCTCTAACAGTGTTTTCAAAGAGGGACTCTATGTGATAAACCTTCTCATCCTTTGAATACCTGACAATGTAACTAGAAATCAAAACTCAGTTTTAAATACTATTCAACAATCTTAAGTCCAGTGTTGCAGTTAAGAAATCTAAGTCAGCCCTAACCGGTTTGGCTCAGTGGATAGAGCGTCGGCCTGCGGACTGAAGGGTCCCAGGTTCGACTCTGGTCAAGGGCATGTACCTTGGCTGCGGGCACATCCCAGTAGGAGGTGTGCAGGAGGCAGCCGATCGATGTGTCTCTCTCATTGATGTTTCTAACTCTCTATCCCTCTCCCTTCCTCTGTAAAAAAAACCCAATAAAATATATTAAAAAAAAAAAAAGAAAGAAATCTCAAGTCAATCTGATTTTTGTTCCTTCCTTGGTCCTCTGCCATCCAGCTGCCTAGAATACAGATGTGATCCTCAGTAAATATAAGTTGAGCGACTGAATCACCAAGCAGGTGCTGCAAGCCATCCCTGAGTCCAGTCCAGGGCTTCTTGCTTCAACTCTTGGGCTTTTCCCACCCAAGCTTCTGGAGCTCCACCCTGGGCAAAGTCGGTACACAGAGGCATGAGGTCATGTTAACAAAAATATAGGGCCCTTCCCCCAAACATTGGCTAAAACGACTCCTGGATGATCAGACTTAGGGCAAGACTACTTGGGTATCTTTGAATCCCCACCGCTTACACACAAAAGGTGCCTGCCCTAGCCGGTTTGGCTCAGTGGATAGAGCATCGGCCTGCAGACTGAAGGTCCCAGGTTCGATTCAGGTCAAGGGCACATGTCCGGGTTCCCAGGTAAGGGGCGTGCAGGAGGCAGCTGATCAGTGATTCTCATCAATGATGTTTCTATCTCCCTTCCTCTCTGAAATCAATAAAACAATATATTTTTAAAAAGGTGCTCAACAAAGGTTTGTTTTATTGAATGGACATACAAATTCTCCAAGAGATGATTCAGCATAACTATAGGAGGCAGGACAGAGGGTAACTAGACCAGCAGATTGAGGGTTTTATGGTAAAGGTGAGAGCTGAGTATTAATAGGTTCTGACCTAAAGGGCCTTTGGTGTAATAGATGGGAAGTAAAGAGCCTTGACCATCACTGCAATAACACAGCCACTAACCACATGCAGCTATTTAATTTAAATGAAATAACATGTAAAACTCAGTTCCTCAGATTCACTGGCCAGATTTCAAGCGCTCAATAACAGCCACGTGTGGCCAGTGACCACTGCATTGGACAGTACAGATAGTATGAAGCACATCACAGAATGTTCTGTTGCACAAAGCTGACCTAGACCCTTAAAGGAAATGTATTCCTGCCAGTAATAAGTAATGTTGAAATAATGAGCCCTCAATTCATTTTTTGGTACATGCTGAAGGCCCAAAGGGCGGGGGGTGGGGGGTTTAAATGACAGAGGTAATAGAAGAAACCCCTGCTTCCTCGCTTTTCTCACTTCCTTGCCCCCTTCTCTGGTGCCCACCACCACCACCCACACTCCAAAGCAGCACTGTTAGGGGCAGGCCCTGACTAAAAGTCCCATCCCAACACCACATAGATTCCTCAGACGCGTCTGCTCCAGGTCTCTAACATGGGAGGGTATATTTGTTCACACGATCATCCCCCCCCTTTTGCTATCCTGAACCTAGTAGGTGCTTAATAAACATGTGTTGGGTGGCTGGATGAGCGAACGCACGGCTCAGAGTGCCCCCTTCTCCAACAGCCCTGGGGAGGCGCCATCCTTAGCGGCTGGGGGACAAAGCTCCTGCCGCCCGCCCAGCTGCGGGCTGGAGCGCTCAGAGCCCGGCCCGCGGGCTGGGGGGTCGGGCCGGGCAGCCCTCGGGGGCGTGTCCTCCCGGGGTCGGGCGCCACCGCCCGGAGAGGCCGGCAGCGGCGGCAGAGCTGCGGCGGTCGCCGAGGGCTAGCGGCGGCGAGCATGGAGCGCGAGCTGGAGGCGCTCGCAGCCCGGCCCGCGCTCCCGGCGGAGCCTCCCTTCCAAGCGCTGGTGGAGGCGGCGGGCGGGCGCGGGCAGGTGCTGCTGGTGGGCGAGCTGTGGGAGCGCGAGCAGAGCCGCGCGCTGCTGCGGGACTTCGCCCGGGCGGTGTTCCCGCCGGAGCCGGGCGCCCGCAAGCCGGGCGAAGCGGTGGCCGAGGGCGCCGCGCCCGGGACGCCGGGGGCGCGGTGGGTGCCCGGGACGGCCAGGGCGCGCGCCATCCACTCGCCGCTCGTCTTCGTGCTGTGCCGCGCGTCGTCGCTGGCCGCCAGGGAGCCGCGGCGCCGCCTGCGGGAGATGCTGCGCGATGTGCGCGACCGGCGGGTGGCCGGCGCGGCGCTGGTCGGGGTGCTGGTGGCCGAGGCGGGGCCCGAGGACGCGGTGGCGCCGATGTTGCGGCTCCTGGAGGCGCTGCTGCGCACCGTGTTCGGCCGCCAGGCGGGAGGCCCGGTGCAGGCGGCCGCCTACTGCCCCGGCCACCCCGCCTCCAGCCTGGCCGTCCAGACCGCCGCTAGCCGGGCCCTGCAAGCAGCCGCGCCCGCGCGACCAGGTGAGGGGGCGCAAGGCCCCGTGGGCGCAGGCGGGCGGTGGCTGGGGGAAGGCCCCGAAGTTGGAACTCTTTAGGCCAGCCCCCTGGTGCACCGAGGTAAACTGAGGCCCCGAGCGGGGAGGTGCCTAGCATTGGTCCTCCCAGCTAGCGCGGAGCAGGCCCTGGGCCACGGGTCGAGTTTGTCCCGGGAGGATCCTGAAAGCATGGGGGACAGTGGCTTGGGAAAGCCGAGGGAACGCACAGAAGGCGGGGGAAGTTGATGGAGCAAGAGGATTGTACTGAGCTGGTCAAAGATCTGGGAGCTGCGGGGAGAGAGGAGTGGGAGGAGATGGGAAAACCTTGGGGTGCACACATTTCAAGGGGGGATTAGGACCGAATTAGGACTGGAGGGAGGGGATTGGTGGTGCCTGGAGCTCCATGGACGCTGCGCAGCTAAGGATGCGAAGGTGGAGGAGGCTCAGTGCGTAAGCGCCGCGGGTCATAGGAGGAAGGCAAGGAATAGGTGCTGGGACTTGGAGGTGTGGGGAAAGGGTGTGAGGGACTGACTGAGGACACAGAATTTTTGAGTCCCTCTTGGCTACCCGCCCTGGTTGTGCAGCCACTGCAGTGCCACCTCCCTTCCCTTCACATTCTCCTGAAGTTTGAAGAGCAGAGTGAGGGTCTTCTTCTGCTGCCATCCACAGAAGAGTCAGAATCTCCTCCCTCCTGGTACACAAGGTTTTCCAGGAGTTTCCAGCGTCCTCGGATTAAAATACAGACATTAAGTATAGCTGGCCCTGGCACAGCTGGGAGATACCGGAGCATTCTTTGCACTCTCTGCTTCCCCCACCTCCAGCAGCTGCTCTTCTCCAAGCCCTCTGGCCTTCCCTCCATTATCTGCCAAACTTTTTTGTGAAGACAGAGGCTGCTGTGCTCTGCCTCCCTGGACACTGCTGTGTTAATCAGCAACCAGGAGGTGCCAGACTTGGGAGGGGGGGGTGCGGTTCCAGCAAGGAGAACTGTACCTCTGAAGTCACAAATGTCACAGACCTACCTGCCAGCCTGGCCTGCCTAGGTGGAGGCCATCCATCTCACCTGTAGAACCTGCCCTAACCATCCCCCCACCCCCCACCCCCCATGCCCACAGCCCTTTCTGCTGCACCTGTGAGGAAGCTGGCTAAATTCTAAACTCCACAACCTGCATCCAGAAAGACAGGGAATGTCCTGAGGTGGACTGTCATTCTGATGGTTGGCCTGGCCCCATGGGAGGACATTTTCTACCTTCCCCCACCCCCAGTGAGCTGGTGCCTAGAAAATTCTGAACCCTTAGTTTCTCCCATTCCCCAGGAAATAGCTTTTAATCCCCCAAAGCCAAGCTTGCTCTGGCCTGCTAAGCTTTTGTATACACATTGCAGTTGCCTGGAATGAAAGCCTTAAAGGCCTGCCTTTCTTTTTTCCTTCCTTTCTTTCTTTCTTCCTTCCTTCCTTCCTTCCTTCCTTCCTTCCTTCCTTCCTTCCTTCCTTCTTCCCTCCTTCCCTCCCTCCCTCCCTCCCTCTCCCTCTCTCTCTTTCTTTCAAGGCCTTTTCTTTCATTTCACCTCCTCAGCTGACCAACCCCATTTCATCATTCAGAACTGGGCTTCCTCCTCCAAGAAGTCTTCCCTGACCTCCCTTACTCCTTTACAGGTTCAAAAATGAAATCCTCAAACCTACCTCCACTCTCTAGTTTCTTACCAATGGTTTTGTCACTTTTCCTTATGAGTTTAATCACCACTATATTCCCATTTCCCATGACCTGCCTGGCATGCAGAATCCTTACCTCTTCTTAAACACTGAATTGATCTCTACTGCATTAAACTCATTTCTACTTTTATAAAAACACACTAAACAATATGAAACCTTTTACTAGTGACTACAGGTCATGAGCGTGATTATTGTCCACTAATTTATTTGTCCACTGATTTTGTCTGGGCTTTTGCAGTGGGCAGCATCACTCACACATTCATGATGCTAAGGTTTACCTAGCAATTGCGTGTGGCTTTTTAAAGTCTCCCAATCCTCTTCCTCACTACCTCCTGGTTATTCTTATACTTTTGATTGCCTGCCTCTTGACATGCCCTCTTACCCAGCTTATGCCTAACCCAGCTGCCAATGGGTTGAAAAACTAGGAATCCAGTCTTTTTAGAACTGGGTGCGAATTAAGAGTAAATAAGCCCCATGTAAAGGAAAACGAACACCGATTTTGTTTTGGCTTCCTGGAGTGTGTGTGTGTGTGTGTGTGTGTGTGTGTGTAACTCCATTGCAGTTACCTTATTCCACATGGTTGGGGCCCTTAAGTGATTCCCTACATCACTTAGATGAGGCTATAATAAGGAAACTAGAATCAACATGTAAGTGTTTTGTATGTGATTATTTAAAAAGATTAAGCCTTTTCGTATTAAGAAATAGTTTGAACTAAAAAGTGGGGAAATTACTGCTCCTTGAGTATTTTATTTGGTGCTATATAATTGTAATTCATATCATGTCATTCTTATCAAGGTAGTTTCCCCAACATGGTACTTACGTCATAGAGTCTTTGTGAGGAAGAAATGATATAATATGTATAAAGCAATCCTTATATAAAGCACCCTCACCAGAGATTAAATCTGAAACCTAGGTTTGTGCCCTGACTGGAATCGAACCCACAACTTGTTGGTGTACAGGACGTCGCTCCAGCCAACTGAGCCGTATGGCCAGGGCTGTTTGTGTTTTTGTTTGTTTGTTTTAAGTATAAAAACTCCACCCCCTTTTGCAAATCAGAATCTTTGTTTTTAATCAGACAGTTGAAACTAGGGCAGTTAATAGTTGAAGTTCTTGGTTTGCTTAACTGAAAATCTCTCAGTTGTGTCAAGCACCATGTGACCTGCTGCCTCTGGGACTTTGTGTTCCTTTTAGCAGAAGGAGCCTGGGAGAGACCCGGCCTCCCGGCGCTGTTGGCCTGCTTCTCCTGGGGTCCCTGGAGCCGGGGGAAGAACCCGTTTGCCACCACCTCCCCCAGTGGTCCAGCTCAGGGTGAGTGAGTCGCTTCCTGCTCCTGGACTCTGAGGGCCAGGTGCTTGGGATTAAGAGAGTGGTCACGTGCACAGGAACCTTAGGGAGAGAGAGGACTGACATCCATGGAGCACTGGCCATGTGTTCAGGGTGGGAGTGAGCAGAGTGAGGTGCCCCGGCCACCAGGAGCCAGCACACGGGCTTGGTCAACAGGGGTCTAGGCCCAGGAGTCTGCCTAGTGAAGGCGGTATAGGCCAGTGGTCGGCAAATCATTAGTCAACAGAGCCAAATATCAACATTTAACGATTGAAATTTCTTTTGAGAGCCATATTTTTTAATATGGTAGGTACATTCAACTTTAAATTCAACTTTAAATTCACGGTTTTCATCTTCCGATTTCTTTGCTTCTTCTTTGTAGCCATCTCAAATAGGCACCTAAAAAAAGTTTCATTTTATAATAATAAAGCCACCAACACAAAATAATTACAATTCTTAAATTGATGACAAAAATACCTGTAGGATTTGCAGCTGGTTGGAAAAATACAGGTAACTGTATGCTTCGAGTAGGTACTTTTGTCACCCTCGCACGATTTGCGGACACAACTAGCACTAACCACAGCACAATGAGACTGCTGACTGACTGGCTCACTCAACCCGTGCATTAATCTGCATTAATCGCGTGCGCCTCCCCCGCGCTGCGTCTCCTGTCGCCCCCTCTCCCCCCACTTTTTCTAGCCACTTCTTCAAAATAGACTCGCCCAGGCCAAAAACTGACTTCTGCGCATGGGCCACAGTTTCAATCGCACTGTACGTGCGCGCCCGCACGTGGTATTTTGTGGAAGAGCCACACCCAAGGGGCCAAAGAGCCGTATGTGGCTCACGAGCCATGGTTTGCTGACCACTGGGATAGGCCATTGACATGGCAAGGCACATGGAGTCAGACCCATGGCCTCACAGAGCAAGTGAGGGGGGGTCAGGGGATTGTCTTAGTCAGAAATGGGAAGATTTGAAGAGGGAGCATCGTGAACAAAGGCTTGACAGCACAATGTCATGCTCAGAAAAGGGACCCCTGTTCAGAGTGCCAGGGGTGCGGTGCAGGAGACTGCTGAGAGCGAGGCTGAAGCAGAGAGTTGAGACATAGCGATTTCTGAGCAAGGGCGTGGAGACTAGGGCTGTGTTTATAGAGGTGACTGGACTGGGGGGCCAGGGAGCCACCAGAGGCAGACCCAGCTAGGAGGGGACTGCATAGTCCCAGGAGGGGCGATGAGGGGCCTGGCCCAAGGGGGGCAGTGTTGGATTGGAGAGGAAGGAGCTCACCAGCCCAGAGCCATTTCTGGGGTAGAATCATCAGGCTGCGAAGGGGAGACGAGGGAAGAAGGGAAAGGGAAAGATAGTGAGATCCACAGAGGTACTCCATAGGCTAAGTTTGCTGTGACCCAGAGAGGACTGACAAGTTGTCTACTGCTTAACTACGAGGATACGAGATCGGAGAAACGCATCCTAGGCGAGTTTGTCGCTGTGCAGATGTCATAGAGGGCACTTACAAACCTGGAGGGTATATCCCGCTACGTGCTAGGGGTAGCCTGTTGCTCCTGTGCTTTGGACCAATCGGAGTTTTTCGGCTCCATTATAACCTCATTGACCAAAACATCGTTGTGGGGCGCCTGACTGTGCTCAGGGAAGCAGGTTGTAACCAGCTGAATGTACATGATCCCAACTCCAGAGTGCACTGAATAGTATAGCTTTGTTATAGAAAAAGTGAGTAGTGCTTTAAAATGAACTTCTATTGTGTCTCTTTTAAAAAAAACATCATTATCAGTCTTCTATTGCCTAGTAACAAATTACCACAGATTTAGCTGCTTAAAACAACACCCATTTATCCCCTTACACTTTCCGAGGGTCAGGAGTCAGGGCACAGCTTCGTGGGGCCTCCATTCAGGGGCTCCCACAGCTGCCTCAACATGGGCCAGCTCATTCCTTGAAGGGGCCCGGGTCCTCCTTCAATTTCATCTGATTGTTGGCAGAATTCATTTGTTTGCCTCCTTAGGACTGAGGGCCCCGCCTTCTTGCTGACTGTCAGCTCTGAGAGTTCCCTCCTCTCACAGGCAGGTGCTCCTGCAGTCGGCGGGGACTCCTCAGGCTCCTACAATGTAACATAATCACAGGAGTGACTCTCCATCACCTTTGTCATATAAGGTGCCCAAACAAGGGAGTAACCATCCAGGCATAGTCACAGGTCACCCCCACACTCAAGGGAGGGGATTATGCAGGATGAGTTCACCAAAGGGCGGGAATCTTGGAGGCCACCTGAGAATTCTGCCTAACTGAAAGCTCAACCAACAGGTACAAAAGAAGGAACACAAATATTTATAAACCATCCACTTAATCCCATCACTCAAAGGTAAATACAAGTTCCTATTTGGAGTAGGCCCGTTCTGTCCATCCATCTGTCTATATCTCCCTGTACTATTTAAATGTTAAGAAATTTGCTTCTATATCATATACAAAATCTGCATCAGGTATTTAAAAAATCTAATTGCAAAAAATGGTAACTTCGACCTCTCCATCATCATTTTGGGATGTTAACACTGAAACAATCCACAGATCTTGATATTCAGATTTCCCATTATATGGGTGAGCCAGTTAATTCATTCAATCCCTTTGTTGGACTTCAAATCAGTTAGGATGTAACTGATTTCAGTTACAGATAAAGAAACTGACTCAAACTAGCACAAGCAGCAAGGGCATTCATGAGCTCACCCAAAGAATGTCTAGGTAGATTCAGCGTCAGGGCCGGTTGGTTCAGGGGCCCAGTGACGCCATCAAGGTTCTTTCCTTCTCTCTGAGGGACCATCCTCCTGTTGTTTCATCCCTAGTCTGGTAGCAAGATCACTGCAGCATTTCCACTAATTATTCCTAATTATCTCCTTAGGATAAAATCCTAGAAGTGGAATTGCTGGGTCAAAGGGTATGTACATTTTTAAGGTTTTTGATATGTATTCTGTTGTGTGTTTTTGAGTAGATAGTCACTGGGGCCAATTTCCTTCCTTTGGTTCCTAGCTTACTCGCTCATAGACTCTACCTTCTGATTGGGTGATTCCCTTTCTTGTGTTTCAGGTAACTTCCGGGAACCTGAGGAGGAGCTGGCGCTGACAGTCATACTTCCCAACGGAGACTGTGAGGATCCTGGAAAGGGGTCGGGAGCCTGTGATGGAGCTGCCCACACTCCCGCTGAGCCCGCTGGAGACTCCAGATGAAGTCTGGACCCCTGGGCTGCTGCAGCTCCTCACTGATGACCTGGGGAGTGCAGTCTCTATGAAGCCCCACCTTCCAGGGAACTGCCACACTGACAGATACCAGCAAGGCAGCGGGACTTACTCAGCTAAGCCCGACCTAGGAAAATGTGTCCTCTGGGAACTTGGTCCCTCCCCGGCCTCCATTTGGTCTCTCTGGTCACCGTGAGGTGGTTTTTTCTCCCTCGCCTTGGTTTCTCTGTGCCATTGAGACAGAAGGCGGCTTGCTTTGTGGCTCTGTGGTGCTGTGGCCTCCCGTGGTCGTGTGCGTGAGCATCCATCACTTCACATGCAGCTGGAAAGAACTCTGGACCAGGAGTTATCAAACAGGGAGAGGGGAGATCTTAGACCTGTCACTCAACCAGGGGCCAGGCTACCCACCTGCAAGCAGCACTGGAAGTGTGTGTGTGTGTGTGTTGCGAGGCTTCACTCTGACTGTGGGGCGCCCCTGGCATTTAGTGGGCATCTCGCATTGTGTAGGGCAAGCTCCAAAAACAGAATTGTTCCGCTCAAAATGCCAATCGGGGCACCTTTGAGAAATTGGATGAGTCAATCTCTTCCCCTTGTCAAATTCTAGGAAGAGTCCCCCAGAGCAGAGAGGGTTGGGGTTCCTGGGACCTCAGCTCCTGAACAAGCCAGAATAAAGACTGCACTGCCCCCTGGGGGCCTGGGGGCCAGAGCAAGATGCTCAGTGTGCTGCTGGCCCAGGACAGAAATAGCCTTGCACAGCCATGCGAAGAAAGAGCCCTCTCTCTTCCTCATGTTGCCATTGACTTTCTGTGCCAAGTTCTTTTGAGAATAGGGCACCAAACAGATGGAAAGTTGGGTTATGGATTAATGCAAGGGCATAGGACTTGCTCTCAATCTCAGGTCCTAACCCAAGGTCAAAGCCGACCCAGCCCAGAGGTGCCGAGTGCTGGAATCCTTTTTTCTCTGGTTATGAGTCAGACAGGGCCAATGATGTTCCCTTAAAAGCCAGGAAGACCATCTGTTCACTCAGAGAAGGAACTCTGCATTACCTCCCTTGTCTTCCTTGCCCGCCAGGAGAAATCCAGTCTTTGGAATGGCCAGGACAGCTCCTGCTTTTCCCTGGTAGGAAGTACTATCTAAGGGAAGTAGTTAAATTCATTCATTCATGCGTGACTTACTCAGCACACATGCAATTGTGCCTACTATTTGCCCAGCGTTCTGGCAGGTGCTGCATAACTTCCTTGAGTTATTTCTGCCAAAATAACTGTGAAAGTGCCAAAATGTGGAGTGGCAAACCTGTGGCTGGGGGCTCTGTGATGTTAAAGAGGACCCTCGCTGCTCTGCACCTCCGTTTCTTTCCTACAACAGGGAGCCTATGGGTGTGAGGGCAGGTAGGATGACAGCTTATTTGGGGCGGTTTGGCAGCATGTGTCACTTTAATTATGCAAAAGTATCTCTCCAATAGAAGGACCCAACTGACTGCCTTCTGCCCAAGAGTGAACTCAATGAATTGCTGTTGATGTTTGAAAATATGGGGACTGGTATTGTTGAAGCTGCTCTATTTTTCTATTTATCCGTTAATTTCTTTGTAATGATTTGGTTAGAATTTTATTATTTGGTGGGGGGAGGGAGCTTCTCTTAAGGTAGAAAATTGTCTAAGGCAGAAGTCGAAAGGCAGAAGCCTCTGCTGTACTTCAAAACTCAGGAGTTTGTTGCCAATATTTGAAACGGGAGATTGCACATAAAAAGCTTGTTTTCGGGGAGGGGGGAGGGGTGTGCCGTCTTCGTCTTCATTTTGCTGTGATTCCACACACACACACTTGAGCCCTTTCTCACCCTCCCACCCTCCCCTCTGCTGCACTTCCCTGATATAGGCCCCCGCCTGGGGCTGGTCCTGGTGGGCATTTGAGTTTGCCAGCCTCTGCTATAAAGGGTGATGTGCACATTTTTTCATCACTTTCAGTATTTCCTGTGAATATGTGAAGAGAGAGGGTCTTTCTTGACTGAGGTTGTGTTCTGCCTCCCGGCTGATAAAGACCGGACTGACATCCTCCCAGGCCCCTCCTGGCTCCGTGGCAGGCGGCTCAGAGAAGCACCGTCCTTTTGTCTTTTCCAGCAGACAGAAGAGTTCGGTGCTGGGAGGGACCTTGGTGTTGGGCCTCCTCCCCGGCGACTATTCCGACTATTCCGAGGCCTGAAAGCTGGGGTGGGCCTGTCTGAGAGTGGAGGCCCCGGATTAGGTTAGTGGTGCCGGGAGCCGTTGACGAGGGGCCTCTGTCTGGGCTCTTGGTACTAATCTTTCTAACATGGCAGCTGTACTGCTTCTGACTTGAATCGATTCCTTAGACCTAATAAAGCCAAACAGCGCCTCACTGCTGTCTAATAAAACACAGTGGGTCCTCCCCTTTCTGTCTTGAGGTGCTCCTTCCAGGAGCCCTTGGGCAAATGGTGGGAAGCTCTGAAGTAGTTTAGCCTGAAAGTCCGCCAGTCCTGCCCCGAGGGACATCTCTGCAACTTTTCTGGCTGGGGTTGGAAAGTACTTAAAAAGAGATTTGTTAAAAAGATAGTATTTAGCTTGGTAGTTAGCAGGGAGTATATGTGTGCGTGTGCACACGCACATGTTTCACCCGATAAAATGGCCTTAACTGAGTCTCAGAGAGCCCCTTAAACATTTGTGTCAGTTTCTCTCTTCTCAAAGTATTTGTCCCCAAGATTAACCACACAAGAGGAATTCCTAGGTTGCCCAGCCAAAACCAAGGCAAACCTGCAAAGGGTCCAAGGGCTGCGCCCCCCAACCTGTGGTCTAAACAAACCCCTCTTACCCCAGACAGAACCAGGACCCTCATTGTGAGTCCTGGTTGTAGAAGTTTGGTCCTTTCTTGTCACCCTGACTTTCTTCTCTCCCTCCCAGATGACCAGGGTCTTCTCAGAGTGGGGTGTTGCCTCGGATCATTGCCCCAACCCCAAACTACTAGTGTTCTTACCCTGACCACCTACACCCCAGGTGTATGGCCGGCTCCGGAAGTCCTGGCTGCCTGCCGGGACAGCCACTCCCAGCCCCTTGCTCCCCCACAGGAGCGGGTTTCACTTTCAGCCTCCACACCTGGTCTGGTCTGAACATGTGCCAGAACCAAAGCAGGCGAGACGGCGGAGCCGGCCAAAGGCCTGGGCCTGAGTGGGCGGTCGGAAGGAACAAGACCTCGGGCGAAGCTAGACTGGCCCTGCCCAAGAGGAATCTAACGCCAGGCACACATGTAGCTTTCCATTTTCTAGTAGCCACATTGGAAAAACCAAGTTAAACAGGTGAAATTAATTTTAATAATATATTTTATTTAGCCCCAGATGTCCATATGAATAAAAGCTTCAAGCACCAGCCTGGCCCGTCCCGGTGACGTAAGATCTGCGCTGTTCTATGCCAGACCCTGAAGAGAGCCCTTCCCCTCAGAGCAGCCTTGCCAGGAAGGCGGACCTGCCCCCCCCTGCTCCCCCCCCCCCCCCCCCCATAGCAAGGCTCTGGTGACCACAGGGCCACCACCAGCGCTACGTGGCGGAGCAGGGTCTCCTGGCTCCCACGCCGGCTCTTTCCACCTCGTCGCACTGTAGCTCAGAAAGCAATCAAGCCTGATCTTGACAGTTGGGCGGAGGCCTCCGATGACCCAGGATTTAAATGCCAGGAGGCTAGGGGTTTGGGGGTAGGGGTTGGTGCTCGCAAGGCGCACGCCCCTTCCCGAATTCCTCGCCTTCTGCGGAGCACTGTGGCCACGAGAGGGCGCCGCAACGGGGTCCCGGAGGTGCTCTGCAAAGCTCGGAACTGAAATCCCGGTGGAGGTGGGCCCAGGGCAAAGAACGCGGTTCCCTCCCTTCGCCCTTGCAGCGGCCCCAGCCCCTGCCTGTGTGAGCCCGCGGCTGCCCTCGTCGGGGCTCTGAGACGTTGTGTGGCGCTCCTGACACTGAGGGAGGAGTTGTTTACACACAGAGCCCCTGGTAAGAACTCTCTCTGTGGTTTTACCAAGTCCCAAGTCTTCGCTGAAAATAAATAGAGCTTGTCTGGGAGAGGGCAGGGGTTCCCAAGACATAGGTCTGAATTCTAGCCTTGTGTCAATAACTGACTGACACTGAGCCCTTGAGTACTTCCTTGTTCAGTTGGAACATAGACCAAGAGACATGACTACAGCTGTCGTGGGGTAAAAGCTGTGGTTCTCAACCTTCCTAATGCCGCGACCCTTTAATGCAGTTCCTCATGTTGTGGTGACCCCCATCCATAAAATTATTTTCGTTGCTACTTCATAACTGTAATTTTGCTGCTGTTATGAATCGTAATGTAAATATCTGATATGCAGGATGTATTTTCATTGTTACAAATTGAACATAAAGCATAGTGATCAATCACAAAAACAATATGTAATTGTATGTTTTCCGATGGTCTTAGGCGACCCCTGTGAAAGGGTCGTTCGACCCCCATAGGGTCGCGACCCACAGGTTGAGAACCGCTGCTGTAAGGGGACACGTAGTGGAGTAGTCAAGGAAGGCTTCCCGGAGGAGGTGCTGTTTGAGACCCAAGACAAATCATATTAGACAGAGGTGGGGCGGGGGGAGCCTTGAAGACAGAAGGAAGAGCAGGTACCAAGGTCAGAGACAAGATACATAGCCTCATGGCCCCTCTGGGAGTCACAATAGTTCTGGTGGATGCAGCATGGCAGCCAGGGCAGACAGCTGGGCCATGAAGGTGGAAGGTAAGCAGGGTTGGGTGGAAGCCCTGGAGGAGCTCGGAGGGGAGACTCCTTGCCTTCCTGGTTTCGGGCAGTGCTTTCGGCTGGCTGTGAGAGCGGACTGGAGAATTGTGAGACAGGAGGCCGGAAGTCAAGGCTGCTGGAAGCTGTCGCAACTGGGAAAGAAGAGGGGAGGCCACCAGTGAGTAATGGGGCGATGTAGAAACGGGGATGGTCTGAGAGATTGAGGAGACCAGGTCTGGTGCAGACCAGATGAAGGTGCCCCTCAGGGTCCTGCTTCCGTAGCTGAGGGATACCCTTCCCCACACTGAGATCCAGGCAGGAGGCATGGCGGATGGGCTGGAGGCATGGACAAGTGTGCAGCTCTGAGGTTAAGGAGCATCAAGCAGAGATGTCTGGTAGGTATGTGAGTCTAGTGCTCTGGAGAGAGGGCAAGGCTGCAGGAGTACATTTTAGGAGTCACTGTCTGGTCCTTAGCAATAAAAACATCGCTCTCCCACAGGGAGAACCGGGAGTGAGAAGACGGCTGTGGACAAAAACACAGAAGAATGAAGCATTAAGACGAGAGCCCAAGATGGAGCTGAGGGTTGCAAGTAGCAGCGGCAGTGGTTAGAGTTGAGTTTGGGGAAGATTGCTCTGATTAAATAGTGCAGAATAGGAGAAGGCACAGATACGGGGCCGCCATCTAGGTGGAGAGCAGCATCCCCAAGAAGAGAGGGGCCTCATGGGGCTCAATGAGGTTGCGGTGATTACAAGCACAGCATCCACGCCAGAGACATGATTGTCCTCCCATAGAAAATGTCTTCTCTTTGAAGAGCAAGGGTGGCAAAGTGGCCACCTCTCCACTTTAAAACGTTTTGAATTAGTTACCAACATTTCTTTTTTTTTTTTTAATATATTTTATTGATTTTTTACAGAGAGGAAGGGAGAGGGATAGAGAGCCAGAAACTTCGATGAGAGAGAAACATCAATCAGCTGCCTCCTGCACACCCCCCACCAGGCATATGCCCGCAACCAAGGTACATGCCCTTGACTGGAATCAAACCCGGGATCCTTCAGTCCGCAGGCCGACACTCTATCCACTGAGCCAAACTGGTCAGGGCGCGAACATTTCTTTTAATTGAGTCTAATTGGCATAAAACATCGTGCTATGATTTTAAAAATATTTTGTTATTGATTTCAGAGAGGAAGAGAGAGATAGAAACATCAATGAGAGCGAATCACTGGTCTGCTGCCTCCCTCATGCCCCCTGCTGGGGATCGAGCCTGCAACCCCCGCATGTGCAACCGGGAATTGAACCGTGACCTCCCGGTTCATAGGTTGAGGACGCTCAACCACTGAGCCGCGCCAGCTAGGAAAACATTGTGTTAGTTTGGGGCATACCATACAATGATCTGGTATATGTATATTTTGAAAAATGGTTACTACAATAAGTTTAGTTGACATCCATCACTGCATAGGGTTACAATTTTTTTTTATTGTGATCAGAACTTTTAAGCTTTACTCTCGTAGCAATTTTCAAATATACAATACAGTGTTGTTGACTGTAGTCACCAGGCTGTACATCTCCAGGACTTGTCACTGGAAGTTTGTACCTTTTGGTCACCTTCAGCCATTTTGTCCAAGTTGCCAACATTGCAAATTCAGAAGATTTCACATGAAATTCCGATTTTTGGCTTTTCTTGGAAGAATCATAAGCTGTTCCAGCAACAGCCCTGCGTTTTTGCACAGCAGCGCTGCAGGAGCTGAGCAGTCACTGCTCTCCACATGGGCACGCACTCGCCGTCACCACGCCCCCTACTGCCTCCCTACTGTCAGTGGCACTCCACCATCCTGCTGAGCTAGCATTTTCTTGCTCTGCTCCTGCTTCATTCATTTCCATTACCTGTTACCTTTTGTTTGCGATTTCTCTAGGAGTTTGGGGAACATGAGTGTCTATGGGAGGGACTGTCCAAAGTGCCTCCATAAAATGATACCCCCGAACATTCAATCTGTTTAAAGGGAGCTCTTCAAAAGTGTTCAATAATTACATTTGAGACACTTTAACAACCATAGCTTAAGAATACTCATTTTTTAAAAATCCACACATACACTCAAATGTGTTATCAACCACAAAACATTGACTTGTGCCACTAGGTCATGGTGTTTTGCGAACTAAGCGTTAGTGATTATTGTCCAATTAAATGCAAGGCTAGTGATTTTAAAATGCCATCACCTGTCACTAGTACTTGTCAATGCTTTCTTTAGTGCTATAGAGGTAAGATGGCTATAGAAGCTGATATAAGACTGCACGTGGCAATCACAACTGCCATTTTCAACTTCTAAAGATATATTAAAAATCAAGAACCCATTGCTATGGGGGGGGGGGGCGGGGGGAAGAGGAACCAGGCAGATAGAAAACAAAAATGGAAGACTCTCCCCCACCCCTAGCTTTTGGAACACTTTCACAGTATATTTTTTTATACTTACGATTTTTCAAACATGTAAATGTACAGTATTAACTATTTCAAACGTAAATAAAAAGGTCCATTGTTCAACGTTTTAATAAAGTAATGGATTCTTTATAATGAAGTATTTCTGTGAGGATTCCTTTTGAAGACGGGTTCTGCTTTTTAAACTTTTTTTGTTGATCACTTTTTAAAGAAAACGGTCTTTGCCACATCCTTAGCCTCCAAAGGCTTGGCAGGGGGGGCGCTGCAGTGAGGCCCCCACGCAGCAGGTGGCGCTGCAGCACGCACCGCTGGCACTTCCCCTCAAAGTCCTTTCTCAGCATTGGCGGGTGACGGTAGAGGGGCCTCTTTCTAGGTGTGGCCATTGTGAAGCCTGATCCCAGGTGCCGACAACTGTCCCCCACCCTGTGAGAGCTCTGACCTCGAAAAGGGCTAGAGAAAACAATGGAGCTCTCTGTGCATCCTTTAGGGCCGGTCGGGGCGGCGGTAGTGGCGCGGAAGGCGTAGGCCGGGGGAGAACTTGTGCCGGGGCGGCAGGCGGGACGGTGGACAGTCCATGGGCGGGCGGGGTCCTGAGCGAGAAGTGAGCCGGCGGCCCGAGCTGGCGACTGACTGAGCAGCGCACCGGGGCAGTGAGGAGGCGCCGCGGAGCCTGCGGGTCCTGAGTTGACAGATACACTGCGGAACCCGGACTGCGAGTGAACGGACAGGCGAGTGCAGGGCGCAGCCATGATCACCTCAGCCGGTGAGTGCGACCGCAGCGGGCGCCGAAAGGAAGGAGCCGCCATGCCGGCTTTTAGCTGAGTCAGGGCCGGTGACTGGGCACCTCCCGGCGGAGCGCCGGCCTGTGCGGCCGCTTGCTGCCCAAGGCCCAGTCCCGGGCCGGGGACTGGCAGTCTGTCCGGGCCTCTCTGCCCTGGGACCCCGCCGGGCTCGGGGGAATCGCACCAGGTCGCCCGCCTCGGCATCCCTCCCGCCACACCCCCGTGCCCGGACCCGAGGTGCCCCCTGGGTCCTTCTCGGGTCCCGAGGAGTTTTCCTTAGTTCGAATCCTCCCGAAATGGACCACGTGGGGCCGTCGATCCTAAGTCCTTACTCGCAGGTGGTTGGGAGGGACGACCCCCGGTGCGCCCGGACGGCGAAGCAGTCTCCCCTGGCCCTGGCTCAGCCCGGTGCTCCTTAGAGTGGAACCTGGAGCTGGATTCGAGGCGGGTCGGTCTGGGCCTACCGCGAGGTGTTCGGCGAAAGCACCCAGAGAACTCCTGTGCTGGGGGGAGCAGCGTTATGCTGAGAAGCAAGTTGTG